ATAAATCTAAGGCCTAGTTTCTGCAGCGGCGCATGTAAACAGCACTTTGCAGATTACGGGCTAGTCTGTAAAGATCCGGAGTGATTGAGAGACCGAACTAAGGTCCTGGGTCTGCAAGTCTGGGAAGAAAATGACTTCGCCGATGGAAGCGGGGAGTTCAGTTTCCAGAAATTGCTCAAATGGTGACCCACCGAAGCGTATTTTCCTTGTACAGGAAACTCATAGGTCATTTCTCTGTGTGCAGTTGGCTTAGGGTGGCAACTGCATTTATTAAGTGTTATGCAAGTACACTAACCAAAGGATGGGACGACAAGATAAAGGATGCCCCTCTTGGACGTATGCTGGAAGAAACAGTGGCCAGAGTGTGGGAATCAGATCCTGTCGGTGGAGACTGGTGTGTGAACAGCAATGAAATGACGGTTTGGGTGGATGCAAGTTCTGTGGCTACGGGAGTAGCACTAGAGGTGAATGGGAGCGTCGTGGAAGATGCTTGCTGGTTGCGTCCAACCAATGATGCCAAACACATTAATCTTGCTGAGCTTGATGCGGTGATCAAGGGTGTGAATCTTGCCCTGCAGTGGCAGGCACCAGTTATGCATGTGGTCACGGATTCAGCATGTGTGCATCGGTGGGTGTCTGACACCCTGACAGGAAAGACGTGCGTGAACATGAAGGCGGCGGGTGAAATGCTGATGAGGCGGCGCTTAGAGACACTGCGAACTTTGGTGGAGGAGTACACACTGACTATGACTGTGACATTGGTAAAATCTTGTCAGAACCACGCTGACAGCCTCACCAGAGTGCCGCAACACTGGTTGGAGATGCACAAGAAAGGAGGAGAACCGATGCAAGTGAGTTGTGCCACTGCAATGAGCCAGTTGAACAAACGTCAGGTGACCCACATCCACCAGCAGAGTGGGCACCCAGGTGTTAAAAGACCAATGTACTTTGCTAGGACCGTGGATCCAACGGTGTCTAAGGAACTGATAAAATCTGTTGTTAGAACTCATGAAGCCTGCCAATCGATCGATCCAGCACCAGTGCATTGGAAAAAAGGAAATTTGAGTTTGAGAAGAAACTGGAGCAGGTTAGCAATGGACGTGACCCATTACAATCGTAGCCATTTTCTTACGCTAATTGACTGTGGTCCCTCCTGTTTTGCAGTATGGCAGCCACTGAGACGGCAAGACTCTGCTGGTGTCATTCGTCAGCTGGAGACAGTCTTCTACGAACGAGGCCCGCAGACTGAAATACTGACTGACAATGACACCATGTTCACTTGCAGACAATTTAAGGAATTTGTAAGTAGCTTGAGGTTCTGGTGCGCTTACGTGCCGTCTGGAAATGGCATTGTAGAACGCAACCACAGAAGCGTCAAAACCATAGCAGCCAGGAAAAATTGTTCAGTCTTGGAAGCGGTTTACTGGCATAACGTCACACCTAAGGACAACCTTTCACCTTCCACGGCACCGGCTGATGTACTGCACACATACCATGTCTGGGTGAGAGGCATTGACACGACGTCCCCGCCTGAATCACAAATAACCGAAGAGGAATATAAGAAAGGGGACATTGTGTGGGTTAAGACTCCACGTGGTAAAAGCACGACCAAATTTGGAACCGGACGTGTGACCGAGGTGGTGAGTCAGCAGTCAGTGCGGGGTCGATGGAATGCCTCATCATGTTAGAGACCTGCGCCCTTTTTGGGGCTCAAATCCCACAACTGACGAAGAAAACACGGAGGATAGTGAACAGCCAATATACATAGAGTTGGATTCAACAACCAATCACTCCGATAGCGGTAGTTTGCCAATAGATCGGGACATGTCTAATGACAGCTCCTCTGATGAAGAAGTTCAACCAATCCCCCTTCGGAGGAGCACCCGGAACAAAAGACCATATCCGCACTGTCATCTGTGTGATCAGGAGATCAGGGGGAGTGTGGCAGACATGAGACAGAACCTGGGATGAGCACAACTGGTTGCGACTTGCCTTGTCCCCACCAAAAAAGAGTAAATGTAAAGCTACTGCAGTTGAAATGAGGGAGAAAAAAGCACTTACCGCTCTGCCGTAATCCGTCCTCGGCCAGATAACGTAAAAGAATGAGGGGGCGACTTGCATTGCATTTTAAATGCAATAAAGATGCAATGCATTATGGGACATGGACGCAATGAATTATGGGATCACATGAAGATGCAAGGGATTATGGGTATATGGAGCAACTACTTTTTTCCCAGTGGGGCAGTTCTTCTAGTGACGTTCACAGTTGGCGGCAAGAACAGTCTGTTAGTGTGATTTTGAGACAGAACTCAAGAAGGAACGACTCAAGGTTGATATACCAACTGGGAGAGCTTGAATTTACTCGCTGATTGCTGTTTTCTTTATTCGCCTCATGGGGTGCTGGCTAGTATTATAAATTCAAAGTGGGCCCAGCACCAGCCCTGCTTGTAAGCATGGGAAGCAGAATGAAAATCTATCACCCTGGATTGAATTACATTTTCAGTTTATAATTCCAAGAAGGTTAACAATTAAGACAGGCACCTGGAGAAAGTCGTTGGGGTACAACTGCCAAAACATTGTGAGTATAACAAATAAGATATGTCTGTCCAAATAGCAAAACATAATTCCTCAATTTAGCATTTCATTGATTCATTTTCTATGGGTTATAAACCCTTTGCAGATTATTTAAAGCTAGGAAATATCTTTAGATTGTAAGAATGGCTTTTTTTTTAGATAATAATGATTTACTGATACAAGTTTTACTAATTAACACATAGCTGGAGGGAGAAGAGGTGGATTCATATATAAGTAAAATTTGATAACAAGAAATTATAATGTGAATATAAAGTGAGGGATCAATTCTGTATTACAATCAATGTATAAACTGATCCCTCACTTTGTGGCCACGGTAATACTATACATCTATATTACAGAGAATGTAAATAAATCTAAAAGGCAGGCCTGTGTAGCTAATCAGTATTTCATTGATTAATTCGTTTTCTGCAGCTGATCAACCTTTTGCAGATTATTTAAAAGCAGAAAATATTAGATTGGAAGAATTTTTTTTTGAGATAATAATGGTTCAATGAGACAAATCTTACTAATTAACCCATAGCTGGATTTATACCATGACAAAGTATATTCGTGCTAAAGTGAATATAATGAACCCAACGAGAATTGGAACTTGGGGCTCCGTTTGACAATTCCAAGTCATCATCCATAAAACCACTCAAAATTCAAGCTTACAGCACCTGGTATTCCCAAGTGGTCCTCCATCTAGCTAGGATTGATGTTGCTTAACTTCAGTGGTCATACAGGAAACAGTATTTCAACATGATATACCTGTAAGCCATATTTCATTTCAGAGAAATAAATGTGTTTTAACCAAGTACTCTCTGAGGCGATTTTGAGAAAATTAGAAGTACTAAAATTCATTATTGGTGGCCACAATTTTATTTTTAACAACACAAAATATGCAGATGGCATAGCGTTGATAACAGATAATACAAAGAAAACTACAAGAACTCCTACAGAAAGAAGTGAAGGAAAATGAAAAGAAAGGACTAAAAAAATAAACATCAATTACAAGAAGACAGAATGCATGGTTGTTAGCAAAAGGGAACAGCCCAATGCAACATTGGGGATACCAAAATCAAACAGATATAACAATTTAAATATCTGTGAAGTGTTTTAATAGCGGACAGAAAGTGCAACACTGAAATTCAAAAGTACATTGGGATAGCGAAAGATGTCATCCAAAAGTTAAGCAAGGTATTAAGAAACGGAAAAAATTTTGTTACAAACAAAGAAAAGAGTAGTGAACTGTTCAGTCCACCTACATGGCAGTAAATGCTGGACAATCTCCTCACAGATGAAGATAAGACTTGAAGTAGCAGAAACAAAGAAAAGAGTGCTACTGAACTGTTATGTAATCTCAGTCCTATAATATGGCAGTGTATCAGAAAAAGAGACTTGAAGCAACAGAAACAAAGAAAACAGTAGTGAACTGTTATGTAATATCAATCCTCAATATATGGCATCAGTGAATGCTGGACAATCTCCTCACAGATGAAGAAGAGACTTGAAACAACAAAAACAAAGAAAAGAGTGCTGCACAAAGTGAATAAGGACCAGATGGTACCGGGTCGAAACGTTGTGTGGATAATTAATAATAGCATCAAGATGAGAACAATTATTCATCATCTCAAAAGTTTCAATAAAACATACCTGGATTTAAGTTTGAGAAAGAAAAGCCACACATAAACCATCATTGTGTGACGGGACATAACTAACGATTTCATAATAAAAAAAAATTATGAAATTTACTTAGCCAAAATAAAGGCTCGAGCTGCATCGCCATTTTTTGAGATGTCGACAAGTTAATTTCAGACATGATGAAATTTTAACGCAAAATCGGTTTAACAAGGGTATGTTTTTTTGCTCAATTTAATGACTTATTAAATTGGTATTTTTTCCCAAAAATGGCAGGTAATTGATTTTTTTTTTTTTGCATAATCAAAACAAAAGTTTTTATTTTTATTTTATGTTTTTTCTTTTTAACAATTCCATGCAAACAACAGTTTTTAAAATTTTCTGACAATATTTACCCAATTTGAATGAATATAAATAAAATAATGGCTTTTTATTATTTATTGCTACATTTTTTCGATCAAAATTCATTCATTCATTCATTCATGTTCAAAATTGAAATTAAAGCATTTAAAAAAAAAAAGACATGAGGCGCGCACACACAAACATTTTTCTCAAATAAACTTTTAATATAACTTTTTTATTTTAAATGTAAATGCAGGATAATAATAATAATAAGATTTATGCAAAATTTACAATATTTTTTTAATCCCTTTTTCTATGTTATTTATTTTGTGAAAATTTTGCCATAAGAAGAGTTAGAGAAAGACAGACTTCAACATGTGAGTTCAAATAAAATTTAAATCCCGAAGAATAAAACTGTATATAAAATTAAAAAAAAAATTTCTTACTGTAATAAAAATATGTTGATCCATATCGATACTTAAAAGATCGATTTGTGGTTTTGTACAGCAAACGTAAACATAATGTCCTAAACATTACTGGTGTGTAGTAATGAAACAATTCGGTTTATCACAATGTTGTTTCAATCTCCAGCCATAATAAACCGGTGAACACCTTTTTTATGTCCCTCTTTTAACCTTTTTTCAATCCATAGGAATCGTCTTTACTTTTTCTTCTATGTGCCATGTCTTTTCAGGGCATAGGCGATCATAGCTCTCCATAATTTCCTGTCCTTTATAGCTCTTACTAAATTTTGTCTTTTTGCTATCTCTCCTAATTCCTATTCTGCCAAACATTTATAAAAATTCGTTAGGTAGGTTATGTTCCACTTTGCTTTCAAATTCCAAACCTGTCAGTGTAAAATTTTCCAAGCCCTCTTTCCTGTGAACTAGAAATTTCAACTATCTTTCTAATGTTAAGTAAGTGTCCTTCTTGTTTTCCTTTTCTCTAACTAAAGAAAGTACTGCTCACATGTTCAATCTATCCATAATCTAGTATTCTCAGCATAGAACCACATTTCTGGTGCCTATAAAAATGAAAACCGGTTCAAAATGATTAAATAATAATTCCATTTAACTTTCTCCAATTACTTTTTTTTTTCTTGCATCTCAGCAAAATTAATTATTTACAATTTTTATCCATTTTTTAAATGATTGCTACTCTGATTCCAGTTCAAGTTTCAACCTATATGTTCCCATTTATTTGCGTATATATTTAGTAAAATAAACATAATTATATTTACTTGCATTTTAGGGGAAAATAAAGTTAGAATTTAACCAGTAAAAAAACATTTCACTTAGTTAAGTAAGTGTTTGGTATATATAATCCGGTATATATATTTAAAAGGGACTTAAATTGACTATCATATACACACGGACAAGGTAGAATTATTAAGACACGCTATGGCAAATTTAGCACGACTTTCTGGCAAAGTTGCCATTGTAACTGGTTCTACTGCTGGGTAAGTCATTCGAATTAAAGTTTATTATTTATACAATATGAGTTTTTTTTAATTTTCTTTTACTGAGATACAATATTAATCTTTGGTAATTTTATTATTTTTTCATTTGCTAAAGAAAGTTCAAAGTTCGTTTTTTGGGGTTTTTTTTTTAACTGTTTTTGTTAAATTGAAGTGCTATTAGAGAAAGAGTTTATGTTAAAATTCATTTTTTAAACATTTTATTCTTTAACAAGTTATTAGTGAGGGGTGCAGACTTTCTCACGAGCAGATTAGTTGATTTATGGGGCGTAGAAAGTGTTTGGTTCTTGTGGCGAAATCGTAAGAATAATGAAGTGGCAGCGATTACTAATTATTCCGTGTCCTGTCCAGAATAAAACAAAACCCGTACAACACATTGATGAAGCAATTTAAAAATTTAAAAAAAAGCAGATGAAAATTTCTTTATCAACAAATAACAATGCTTTACCGTAGAATATAAGACCCTTGAAAAGTAGTGTAAGTTCATATACACGCATTTAGGTGTGTTTATTAAAAACCCTTTGAAAGGGGAAAGTTACATACACACATTTAGGTGTGTTTTAAACCCTTGTAAATGGAAAAATACAAAGACACGGGTTGAGGTGTGAATGAAAATGGCAACGTTTAAAAGACAAAACATGCATTGAGGTTGTCTATATTTCTGAGATGAAATTAAATAAAACCTCATCTTTGTCGCCATATTTTTTCAAACGGGCCGTTGTAGTCCGGCCTTCTTCAGGTGGTTGGAATTTCAGACTGAACCCTTTATTTCGATCGCTGGGGTAGACTGTTCTAATTCCATGCCAGAATGTCAGTTATCTTATCTCCTGCTAATTTTCCTTTCTGAAAGTTCTCCACTGCCTTAACTAGGAATTGAACTCACCTTCTTTGGGTCTGTCACTGGGTTAAAGTTTATCCACTGTGCCCATCGATCTAATAATTTCTAGTTTTTAAACCCTAATGTTTTTACATCATTTTTAAAAGAATGCAATTTTTTTGCTGTTATCATTGCATGTCTTTAAATTCATATTAAAACTTTATTATCATTGCTCTCTGGCACTCCTTATTACTGGTTCCCATATTGTTTTAATGTTGGTCAGCTCAGATTTTTGAAATGTGCTTTTATGTTTTCCAATGGTGTTCCCTGTCTATCTCCATGACCCACCCCAAGATTCCTTCTCTCCCATTGGTCAGGTTTTTTCTACTTCCCCTCGCGTTACAGCTTTCTGGTGTTCTTGAAGCCTTACAAATTAGGGGCGGCCTGTCTTCCTTTATATTCCTTCCCGCAGATGGGACGTTTTAGTCATGTTCCTCTCTTTCTCACTCGTGAGAAAGATGTTATCACACTTTTGAAGGTTGTCCTGATGTTATATGGACCGCAGATCTTTTGTATTTTCTCTGATAACCCCTTCACATAAGGCAGGCAGACTGTTTTCTGGTGTTGTTGTCCTCCTCCTCCTCCTCCTCTTGACCCGCCCTGTTTTTGGGGCTGCTGCTGCCACCCAGGGTAGTTGTTGCGTTGTAAAATTACGCTGACCAATTCCTTATCTATCTCTGGATTTATGACTTTTTGCTTTCGATGTTGTAAAGCAAAGATCCCTTCTTTGCTGCTGTATGGATGGTGGGGTTGAAATTGAGGTACTGTCAATGTTGGTTTACGATACGGATGTCTTGAACCCATTCTCTGTTAAATATTAGTACATCCAGGAATGGGGGCTCTTTCTCCATTGTGAACTGTATGAAGGTCTTATTGAGTTCAATGGTCCAGAAGAACCTGGACTTCTTCCTGAAATGGTGTCATCTCGTGCCGTAACCATATAGTTTTGCTTTAGCGATATAGACTCTAATGCCATTTCTTCAAAGTATTCATGTATATATTCAAAATGTTTGCAATTGTTCATCCTGTTGATATATGTGAGATCCCATTCCGAAGTTTTCTCCATCATAAATCTATTGGAATGCTGGTCCGCTCCTCTAGGGAAGAATTCAGTTAATTATCTCTGACTGATTTCCGTGGGTAAATTGGTGAACAGACTCACCACGTCCAAGCTCACCATTTTGGATGAATGGGAAATCTTTGATTATTTCCACGAAGTGGGCGGATTTCGGACATATGAAGGAGACTTTCCGATCAATGGGTCAATGTCAAGCCATCAGGGGTGGCACACAGAGCCTTGGCAAAACAATCGGCCTGAGTGGAATACCGTCTTTGTGAATCTTAGGAAGTACTTGCTGTAGCAGCTATAACTCCTTGTTTTAAAGTGTCCTTGTTCTTGATTATCTGTGACAGTTTGCGTTCCGTTTTCATAAAACTATGCAGATTGCTAATGTCTTCAATAGTCCGTTGGATGAACGTTTCATGGCGCTTGGATCTCTTCAACAGAATTGCCAATGAAGAAGACCAGAGAAGGATCCAAAATGACCTTAAATCCTTCAGACATGAATTTGAAGTAGTCAAAACTCGCCAAATTGCAAAAATTAAATAGATTTGAAAGATCAGAAGGTTCTCCATCACCCACCAGTGAAAAGTATCAACATCAGCCAATATCAGGATGCCTCTGTCAGTATTGAATAAGGGTCTCAACCCATTCAGGCAGGTGCCATACTTGGACATCATTGCCAGAGTAGAGGTGGCCTTGTTCCTCAGGCTCATTTTGAGACAGGCCTTGGAAGACCAAGCTGCCCAGGTCTAACATAACAAAACTGGAGAGACTGGCGATTGAATCAACAAGGAATGGGACAATCATACTACCGGCTGACAAAGGTAATTACTGTAAGATGGACAAACGGACTATACAAAGAAAACTGGAAGACCTCATTAAAATGGTAGCTACATTTTACTATGAAAACGGGCATAAACTGTCACAATCCTAATCAAGAACAAGGATCGCCGCAAAGGCGTTATGAGGCAGTTATCAGGTTACAACAAGTTACCTCACATATCGGGTCTCCTAAATTCTCCACTCAGGCCGATTGTTGGTTGCCAAGGCTCTGTGTTTCTGCTTAATATAATTGACCCATTCATCGAAAGTCTCCTTCATATGTCCAAACTCAACCCCTTATGTTAATTGCTCCCCATTCTATCAACCAGATGGTGAGCTTGGACGTGGTCCAAGATCTCAGTAGTCAAATAATTAACTTTCCCTAAGGCGGACCAATTCCAATTAATTGATGGAGATGTTGACTTTCTGTACACAAACAACACACTTGAATGGGATCTCAATATATCAAAGGGCTTAAAAATGGGCTCGCCATTATCACCAACAATGGCGAATATATACATGGAATACTTTGAAGAAATGGCATTAGAGTCTATATCCTAAAGCCAACTATATGGTTTTGCGTGGATGACACCATACTCTGGCCACATCAGGAAGAAGTCCAGGTTCTTCTGGACCATGTGAACTCAATAAGACCTTCAGAAAAGTAACAACTCACTCCATTCCTGGATGTACTAATATCTCGAACAGAGAATGGGTTCAAACATCCATATACCGTAAACCAACATTCACGGACAGTACCTCAATTTCAACTCCCACCATCCATGCAAGCGTAAAATGATCCGATGCTTTCGAGCAAAATCATAAGTGGCGATCCAGGGCGTTAGATATTCAGTATAAGTAGTACCCTACAAAACAACTACCCTGGGTACATGAGCAGCCCCAAAAAACTGGGATTACAAGAGGAGGAGGAGGAGGACAACAACACTCAGAAAACAGTCTGCCTGCCTTATGTGAAGGGAAAAATACAAAGATCTGCAACCATATAACATCAGGACAACCTTCAAAAGCGTGACAACACTTTGCCTTTTCTCTCATTGAGACCCCCCCATTTGTGTGTATCGCTATCCCACAGCTGGAAAGGAATATAAAGGAGAGACAGGCCGCCCCTCAAGGTAAGTTTTTTTAGAAAAAATCATGGCTGACCACATATGGAGAGAAGGAATCACCGCCCCTGTGGGATCATGTTGAGATCATAGACAGGAACACCATTGGAAAATTCATAAACTTAAGGAATCAGCACATATGCTGGGCCACAAAAAATCTCCTGAACCGAC